AGTCGCTCAAGCTAATCGGACAAAAAAGCGACATAATATCCTATCGAAATCAGTAAAGACCTAATCAAAAAGAGCATCACCAAACTGATTTGAGCCCCTCTAGCCAAATTTTATGCTTTTCCAAGATATTTTATATCTTTCTGGCTGCTTCATTGCCTGTGATAACCAGTCTAATGGTGGGAGCTGACGGGCCTAAAATTCGCATATAAATATTCCTTATTTTCATACAGCTAGCGTAGAATTTAGTACCTCAGAGAAGTGCAAAAATACGTACAGAATGAAGTCTCCTTTGCACGGACAAAAAGAGCATCGAATGAGCCAACAACTATATTCCAGTCATCTGACAGCAACAGCAATTTTGCACTATCCCCATCAATTGCCGTGAAATCTTTGATTTCATTCCATATTTCGGCGTAATCATTTCGCACATCAGCGCTCATTCCATCACAATTCATCAATAGACCCGTTCTTTGTTCTAGAAGAAAAACCGTTACACAATTAGCCGTACGCTTAGGGTAAAGTGAGCAATGGAAAAGTGCGGCCAAAGGACGCTTTGCACAGGAGAGACTAAAATTATGTCAAGGGGATACGCGACGAACTAAAAAAAAGCAATAAAATGAGATGCTACTTTAAAATCTAAGTAAACAAGATGGAGGAATGTTAAAATTAATGAAGGATCGTAAAAAAAGTATCTAATTTTATGGCAGGCTGCGAAGGGGATTAGTAAAGGACTAGCAATGTAGCAAGCACTCCCAATAGCTTCAATGCCACCTCTTTTATGGCTTTCTCGCTTTCCAAACTTTGAAAAACAAAAACCATGTGAAAAAAAAGCGAACAGCTAACTGAGCATTCTGTACAAAACGGAAAAAGAAATGGAGATAAAGCGTAGAAATTTATTAACTTTTCGAGGAAGTGCCTCTTGCGAATTTCTAAATGATATTTTTCCCACTTTGAGGTTCTCTACTTACTAAGACTTCTCAAATTCGAAAAAAACCCGGTTCAATTTTGCGCCTCATTGCTTTAGATATGGACACCATTAATCATCATTTCTTCGACCAAATTTACAATTTTTGTGCGTTTTTTGCAGTTATGCAATGCAGGAAACGCATATTGACGGGGGGGTTTTCTGTGTCTGTGTGAGCGCCTTTCACGCACTTTCATCTCAAGGCCTATAAAAGCTGC